CTGGCTTTTTGATGGTTCCTCCTCAATTTTTCTCTCTTCTCCACCTCTACAGAGAAACCAGAAGAATCAATCGTTTTCTTAGGCAACGTGGTTCTTACCACACATAGGCACCTTGAGGTATTGATGTTTTTCTATAAGCTTGTCAGAGAAACTTTTTCTGAATTAACACTCATGTTAGTGTTTGTGAATGAAGTTTTTCTTTTTTTTATCTTAACATAGATCTTTGATGTAACTTAATTAAGTTTTCTCTGTTGAGACACCCTATCTCAACCCCGTGACTTTTATACACTATGAGCCACTCAGGTGCCACATGGCATGTCCAAAATAGAATGATCCATTCCTCTTCATGATGAAATCTTGGCACTTCTTGCTTAGTCTGTGCCTTTCTTCACACATGTGGATTCTCTGTAATGCTAACTTGCTTTTATACTTTTATTTTGTTTCCAGCCATTGACTTTTCCCTCAGTGTATGGTTTGTCTCCTAGTATTCCTCTGAGACAGGTTTTTTCATTGCATTTGATTTGAAGTAAACTGGAAGTTGTGTACCTTTAGTGCTTATATTAGTGAGAATTGTATTTTAACTTTTCTTAAAATTGAACATTTTTATGTTATAGATTTTATATCAAAACTTTTTTCTTTGCACCTTCAAAATTACAACTTGTAATAGTTATTATATTGTTAGTCTTGGAGCAGCTTTTATGCTGCTTCAACAGACAGAAAAACAGTAATGGATTGTTTTGGCATATATGACTTCAAAGCCTTATCTAGTTGATTTAATCTTTTTTGTCCTCTCGTATTATTTTAAATTGTACTGTATATTCATGCTAAAACGTACTGTATGTTTTTAATTTGTAGGGCAAATTAATTGCTAATGTGAGGGAAAGCAGTACAGGCTCTGGAGCCATAAGCATTCCTAGTTCTACCAGTAATTAGGAGATTGTGAAGGAGAAAAAAGATTGAAGTGAACTTGGATGTGCAGGAAATGTTTAGGTCCTAGGGAAATTAGAACAATCACAATAAAAGCAGTTATTGACACTTCTGTTAGATGTTTTCATTACACTTGAATATGGACATTTAAAGGCAAAATAGAGGAAAGAAAAAAACTTTAAAAGATTCAGTCGATAGAGGATAAGAGGAAAACTAAGAACATGTGGTAGTGAAATGAAAATGCTTTTAAAAAAAGATAAGAAAGAATAAAAAGTGTCCTTTTGGCTTAGCAACAAAGAAATCTTCAATATAATAAGGTGGGAGTGTGGTAAAATGGAGAGGCGGAAGCCACAAATGAGAAAAGAGAAATACTTTTTCCTGAGCATTTGTTCATTGAACAAATATTTAGCTCCTACAATGTACCAGGCGTAGCAGAGGCTCTATGCAAATAATAATAAACAATTTGTTATCGGGACAACAGAGGGGTCAGGCTGCCTGTGTGTATCTAAGCCAAAAAAGAGGTATGTGAAGGTTTTGCAGCAAAGAAAGTAAGGTTTGTCAGGGAGTTGCAAGTCCTGGAGACACAGGCAAGCAATTGCTCAAAGGCTTGGCTCGCCAAATGTCTTGGGAATACAGATTATATAGGGAAAAATCAGTAGTCATGGAAACTAAGGGAGTTGGGGTCATGGGGCTACTGATTGTATGATTGGAGGGGAATAAGGTAGTTGATCATTATGTCTGGTTATGGAATCAGCCATAGCACCATCCCTTCTGGTCCCTTGGCCTGGTCTGCAGAGTGGTGGGGTTTATAGTTCTGCCTCAATGGACCTGGGGCGGAAACACATCTAAAACCAAGATGTTATCCTTAGTCTAAAGACCAACCAAAATCTAATGACCTCATGATTATAGACATGAGGCTTGGGGCCCTAAAGCTTAATGATTAAAGGAGCAGGTATACAGAGGATAAAGGTGGGAAAAAAAGCAAGTGAGTCACAATGCCATTATCTCGGCAAAACCAGCTTGACTCAGAGAAAAAAAACTATATTAAAGAAATGAAGTTCCTGCCCTTAATAAGCTTAGGCAGTGGGAGAATGTGTTTATATGCTGATGGCAAAGATAGGAAGGGACAGTTGAAAATATGTTGAGAAGATCTAATTGATGATGGAGGTGAAATGAAAAGGGCTAGATCTAAGGTGGAGGACTTCACTTGGGAAGGAGTGATGCAGTACAGGGCAAATTTCCTCGAGTAACAGGGAGACCAAGCCCTGTACCGAGAGAAGAGGGTCCTTTGGCGGAGTATGAAGATAAAATTCAACACACATGCCAAAGTTAGAGCCAAAAGGAAAGTTTATTGGAGAGGGAGTAACACTCCACAGACAGAGCATAGTCTCCTCTCAGAGAGCGAGAGGGAACAGGGGCGGCTTGGAAAGATAGTGAATACGGGCTGGTGTGTTCAGGGAATGCAGTTTATATATCATTCTTTAGTTTCTGTGTATTACTGTTTAAAAGACTTTGTTAACCAATTTCCTTTGATATGGACAACAGTGAGGAAGGGGAAGAGTAAGTAGCATGGAAAGGTAAGAATATATAGAATGAAAGGCCTGTTGGCAGTTCCTAGCCTTTAATCCATAGGTTCCCTAAGATTTTAGCCATAGAGAATGACTCTTGCTTCCTGTTTCCTCTTCTCAGGTGTAGACTGGGTTGTTAGTAATCCAGCAGAAATCCTCCTTTGTTCTGAAGGTATCCTCCTGGCCTGGCTGCAGGACTGATCAGCACATTGTAGTCTCTGAATGTGGCTTGACTAACATTTTTAATTTTCTTCCCTCCTCCCCACATTAGGAGGAACAGTTACTTTTGAGTTGAGCGAGGACAGTGTAGGAAAGAGAGTACCTAAACCTTACTTAGCATAGTTTTCCTCAAAAAACTCGCCACCAGCTGGTTTATACATGGTATGTGAATACAAAGGTTGGAGGGAAGA